TTATTTTCTGAGGATGACAGAAATAGAAAGTTAACACTTTTACATCTGTCTGAAATGTATATTGAGTAAGGTACTATTTTTAAATATGGGAACACGTCATTTCACTTCTTAGATGTTTAAGTCCGTGTTGATAAAGTCTGTTTGTTACACGACTTACCATCCTCAGAGATATTTATAGCACTGCCACTATTGATTTAAAATTCTATAAATAAAATTATCAAAGAATTTTTATAAAGTGAGTTTTGTTAATTGATTACATCAAAAATCGTCAAAACACAACAAAAACGCCAAATAATATATAAAATTGATTAATAAATTGAACACATTTCTATTGAGAATTGATATTGTATAATATAAAATATTAATATAAACATATATTCTTGTGTATATATGTTTTTAAAAATAAATAAAACCGTTTAAAACAAAAATGATTTTATTTTACAAATTTGTTCATTTATAAATCGTTGTTTTATCGATCTTCAAAACCTCTCTTTTTGAATTTGCGCAAATACATAAATTGTCATCGCATAAAGTATTAATTAACAGTACGTTATTTGCTATCAATTTTTATTGTTTAATATTTCATAAATTGATTTTTAATAAATTGTATTTTTGTAAAAAAAATTAAAAATTGTTCGATTAATTTGTTTTGTGATTTTGATTAAAAAATCGACTTTTTCGATAATTTAAATGTCTGTCAAATGTTTTCATTTAAACCAAAGTTAGTCTTGTGGTAAATCAAAAAATAGAAGTAGATTATTTTTTTGTAAAAATCAACTGAAAGAATCATCTTTCAAAAAATCCATAAATAGCATTTTTAAAGAAAATCACGTGTTTCAAAATATACCTTTTTAATCTTAGGCAAAAAAATCCAAATTGAAAGAAATTATGTTTAAGATATTTACCATCCTCAGAAAAATTAACAATCCTCATGAATCCCTTAATTGTACATTTGAAAAAAATGTGAACTATCTTAAAACATTTGCTTTTATAAAGCGTGAAATAGCAGAAAATTATTATCAAAAATACTATTTGATATTTGCGTGATCAAAAAGTGTGTCAAGCCAACTAAAATATGTATTCCATTTACATTAATAATAACGAATTTTTAGTAACAATAATTGATTTAAATACATGAAAAAATAAACTTGATAAATGTCGCTTTAAGTGTTGATAAAGTGTTTTATAATGAAATTACCCTTCAAAAATAAAAAAGCCAACTTTTCAATTATCATAAAGATCAATTTATATGATAACCTAAAATAACCAAATCTATTTGTA